GTAACACGAGACCATGCTGTCTCAAATCCCACGAATCACCTCATACCTTCCTTGTGCGCATATTCGCATCTCGACTGGTACATCCATTCTGATAATTCCTCTACGAATCCGAAGTCCTTCTCTCCCTTTCCTCCCAATGCTACACTGCAAGTCAACACATCATAGAACATTCTGAGCCTCTAATCATAAGCTGCTTCACAAGATCAATTCTTAAACATACCGCGGGCTTGAATCCTTAGGCACCGCATTTTTAACCGTTGAATTCACTAGGACTGTTATTGAGAGTCACCCACTCTGACATGGTCCCGAATATAATCAACTGCAAGGCTCCGCTAGCCCATGACCACCCTCTCAAAGAACACCCGGCCGAATCACCTTCCTTGCAACTCACTTCTATGCGCAGCATAATTTCTGAGTCTTCCCAAAGCCTGAACTTGAATCGATGATGCCAATTATAGAACACATTCTTCAATTCCTTTGCTCAAATTACTACTGATGTTCTCTTTCCTTAGCCGAAACAACTTACCAATACGCCGATAACCCGAAACCTCACAAGAATATAATCATACAACCCAATCGTAGGCGCTAGGACTCTCCCACTTAGCTTGAAGCCACCATTACGCAACTCTAGAATCTAACAAGATTCTTTCTTTATTGTTGACATGATCTAGCACAACCAACCCGCCAAGCTCCTAGAAATCTTTCTGTAAACCATTTATGAATACTCTGAATCATTAACCACATTCACATGTTCGACCTCCTTACCAGATAGCCAGTAGGATTCTTAAAATTCTTCGCAGAGCTTCGCGAACGCGACCGCTGATCTGCTCACAGGAGATAGCCCACCTGTGGAGATTACACGCCGACAACTTTCAACGCTGCTGCACGAGGCACAATCACTACGCCATTCATAACCTATCATGAGCCCGTGCTCATCCACCAATTGTACTAGTCCGTTCACTCCTTAGGGACATCAACTAAATGTGCGACAATATCTTCCAATTCGAAGTTATGTTGTATCCTTCTTCATATCAAGCAACTCCTTTCCGTCATATCAAATCTCCCGCCATTATGCTAGCCAATATTTCAAATTAAGCTCGACCCAATCACCGTCCACTAAAATTCCCAAATCACTCCAAACTTTCCTCAAGAGTGTAGTTATCCTGCCATTGAATCCACGTGCTGCTCTGCCACTCTCCCACTTTGGCCAAACCCTGTTCTTTAAGCAACTATTCGACTTCCGCTTCTTACACTTAGCCTTCTAGAAATTTAACGACCGCATAACACTTCCCACATGTCCTTCCTCATCCTTGGCTGCTCAGCTGATGCCTTAGATCAAAACCTATTTCAGTAGCGCTTGAATCAATAGACCGCTACTAACTTTTAAATCTTTCTGAAGATCATCTTTCTCGAGCCGTCAACATTAGAAATACACATTCAATCCTGAACCACCGCACCCCGTGATCTCTGACAGCCGCTTCTCCAGTACTATTCTACAATATCCTGCCCCCAGGGCGAATTGTAGAAGGTCATAACACCAGCAAACTTAGTACATTCAACAAGGATAACGACACCTCATCACAGACGAAAATTCTACCACGCTCGTAAATACCAAGTCTCGTTTCTCCATCAATCCAAATCTGAACATTCTTAGCCCGATTGCCTTTCCCTTGCCGGGAATAAAATACCGAATCTCTAAATCATGCACTGAGTAAACCCCCCTTCAAGTCATTCACTGCCCCGACACGTAGGCATGTATCCTACCATCACATCAATACCGCGCGACAACCGTTCATAAGCATCATGGCAACTTGTGCCTAGCCTTAGAACTCTCAGAAGTACGACTAATGAGCTGAAACGATAGAATATCCTTCCACAAGGCGATGGCAATAGTCAAATCAACTACGTCGGGAGAAGCATCCCGCACCACCTCTGTAGCACCTTTAAAATTTCTCAATTCCTGATTTATAATAAGCGCTTCGCGTCGCACAAGATCGATTGGGAAGGAAACAAAGGCATAAGCCTCAAAGGAATCAAATCGCACGATGAGGAAATCAAGAAGGGAAGTGCTCCTAACAGCCCTGTAGCCTCCCGAAGATAAGTACAGACGTCTCCGTACCGATTCGCGAGACTCTATTAGACTTGCTCATGACTCGTGAGACCTAAGGGAACCTAGTGCTCCTATTCCAGATGTCACGATCCCAAATCCACTAAGGGTCGTGATGGCGCCGGACACCACTGTCAGGCAAGCCAACACCAATTTACTTGTAATTTCTTGTTTTAATAACTTCAAAATCGTTTCTTTTATGCATTAAACAATAAGTAATGAATTTCACTGAATAGATATTTATGTCTTTAACAAACTTAATATTAAATAATTCCATAATCATCCCAGATCCCGGGGTCACAAGTGCATGAGCAATTACTAAGAGATTGAATAAAGTACAATAACTGTCCGGAATATAAATTGGACAGAAAGTAAATACAATACGCTGAAAGAGACTATACTGGCTGCGGGTCGCCTCGAGAAATGCTGCTCACCTAGTCTCCTTATCATCCATGCTGCTACACCCAGTAGGCCACTCGAAATACATGTGCCTGTGCAACAAAAATGCACAGCAAGTGTAGCATGAGTACGAAAACAACGTGTACTCAGTAAGTATCCCGTCTAATCTCGAAGAAGTAGAGACGAGAGGTCAACTTCGACACTATAATGATACACCAATAATATAATGAATTGAGGATTTTTATAAACATGATTGTAATTCAGTAGAATGAACCAAGTAAAAAATTCTTTCCTTTATAGGAAATTCCCAAATTCCTTTTCATCATTTATACATTTATTCTCAAGCCGGGAAGAAACAATATCAACTTCAATAAATTTCAAGGCAAGCAATACATGCGACGCAGGCACACACAGAAATACATATTCAAACAGTCAATCAAGACATTTATCAAGGAAACAATTATTCAAGGAGGTGTTAATTTCCTTTTTTACAAGTCATGAAAATGAAGTTTAACTCTTTTAGAAAATCATTTGCCACTTCGATATGATTTAAGCAATTTAAACTATTAATAAGGTTGCATTTATTACAAGTAAGCATGCTTTTGGGTCCTAGACTACCCGGACATAAGCATAATAGTAGCTACGCACGGACTCTCGTCACCTCGTGAGTACGTAGCCCCTACAATTAGCAGCACATATACAATTAATTCACCAATGGGGACAATCCCCTCTTACAAGGTTAGAAAGGAGACTCACCTCGCTCCGAAGCCTATATCCCAATTCAAGAATGCGCTCAAACTTCCAAATTGGAGCCGAACGATCCAAAACTATTCAAATGGGGTAAGAACTAGTCAATACATGCTCAAAAGTTTATATTCTAATTATTAAACCAATTTCCCTACCCTAAATGCAAGGTTCCTAAAATTCATCCCCGGGCCCACGTGCCCGAAATTCGGAAATTTTTGAAGAAAGTAGTTACCCATAACCTAAGGATCAATAATATATAATTTCTACTTCATTCCATCACAAATTTCGTGGTTAAATCTTGTTTTTATCAAACTCTAGGTTTTTCATCTAAACCCTTGATTTTCCCTAATTTTCACATGTTAATCTACCCTTAATCTATGTATTTAACTCATGTTGTGTAGAAATTACTTACCTCAAAGTGCTAGGTGAAAACCCTCTTCCAAAAGCTCAAAAAATCGCCTAAGAGGATGAAGGAAATGAGCTAAATGGTCTAAGTCTCGCAATTAATAGCTGGACACAGCCCTCTGATGTCGCATTTGCGACACCAGGTTCGCAAATGCGACAAAATCCTCGCAAATGCGAAGCCTGGGCTTATGCTGTCGGGATCGCAAATGCGACCTCAGAGTCGCAAATGCGACATCTGCTAGGATCGCAAATGCGGCCATAGTGTCGCAAATGCGAACACTGCCAGGGGTCGGGCTCCTTCGCAGTTGCGAAGCCCTCCTCGCAAATGCGATGGTCGCATTTGCGACCAAAACATCGCAAATGCGGCCATACCAGTACCATCTCCCATTTCTTAGCAAATCACTCCGAAGCTATCCCGAATCTCACCCGAGCCCCAGGGGCTCCAAACCAAACACCCGCACAAGTCTAAAAACATAACACGGACTTGCTCGAAGCCTCAAATCACATCAAACAACGCTGAAACCATGAATCGCACTCCAATTCAAGCTTAATAAACTTTAAGATTTCAAACTTCTACTTTCAATGTTTAAACCTATCAAATCACGTCCGATTGACCTCAAATTGTGCACACAAGTCATATTCGACATTACGGACCTACCCCAACTTCCGGAATCGGAATCCGACCCCGATATCAAAAAGTCAACTCTCAGTCAAACTTTCCAAAAACCTTCAAATTTCTATCTTTAGCCAAATGACTCCAAAATAACCCACGGACCTCCGAATTCACTTCCGATCGCGCTCCCAATACCAGAATCACCACGTGGAGTTATTCCCAGACTCGGAATCCCAAACGGACTTCGATAACACTGAAATGCACTTCAACTCAAACTTATGAAATTCTTCCAAAAATGCTAACTTCCACAATAGGCGCCGAAACGTTCCCGGGTCTTCCAAAACCCAGTCCGGACATACGGCCAAGTCCGAAATCATCATACGAACCTGCTGGAACATTCGAATCCCGATTCCGAGGTCGTTTACTCAAAAATCCAATCTTAATCAATTCTTTCAACTTAAAGCTTCCGAAATGAGAATTCTCTCTCCAAATCAACTCCGAACTTCTAGGAATTCAATCCCGACCACGCGTACAAGTCATAATACCTGAAGTGAAGCTCAGGGCTTCAAACCGCTGAACGACCCGCTAGAGCTCGAAACGACCGGTCGGGTCAGTTACAACAGAGGCTTAGACCATTGACACTCATCAGGATGACTACTCCTGATTTGCTTTCTAGTTTCATTTTCTTCAACATCCGAAGAGAAAGAAGTACAAAATGGCCAAAGAGAATGCTGTAATAATGACATTGGAAATTTCGACCAAAAAATAAAAAGTTCTTGTGCTTTTACGAGTTTATAAAAGGTATCCACGAACACAAAGATACAAACAATAAAAATAAAATAGTAGTATGAATTAATTATATATTACTACGTGGCCCTCGATAGAATTCATCTTGAGAAGAGGTTGGTGAAAAAATTTCCAGATTTGGATTTCTCAAGGCAAGCCACGTGTGCATATCTTCCAAAATTGTCCACTTGTCTTGCTTCTCCTCTCGTATCCTTCTTGCATACTTTGCACGTCTTGTCTACCCATCCCTCCTCCACATATTCCCCTTTTACTGTTTCAACGAAGAGAAACGGTCAATTACATGCTAATTAAGCCACACATTAATTACATTCTGTGTAATATAAATGATTAGCTATAATTAATTACCTTCAACGTAGGACTTGAAGAAATCTTTGTATGTGCCACCAATCTTCCTTCTCAGAGCTCCATACTATAAAAAGGAACATTAATAATAGGTCATAATATATAAACAAGTAATACGACTTGATTAATGCTAATAAAAAGTAGTCCTACTGTTATTAGTCTAAGAATTTTTAGGCTACGTACCAATAACTTGAGCGGTATATGAAAGTTAAAGTCATATTAATGACTTGGCAAGGCAAGAAAATTAAAATACCTGTTCTCTGGACATCCTCTCGCCAGATTGAGTTGCTTCTCTAGCTTCATCGATGAGCTCAGCGTCTTTAGCTGATCTAACCTGAGAAAAATCCAGAGCTTCTGTTACACTTGAGAACAAAGATTGCTTCTTTTTTTCCTTGGGTTCTTCTGTATCCTCTTTCTTTGCCTTTGCTGAAACTGCTATTACAAGTTTTGAGCTAGGAAGAATAGTACTAGTGCATCTAGGGAAATATTCTGAACCACCCAAATAACCATTTTGACAAGTTGTAAAGGGAATAGCTCTCAGTCCCATTTCTGCTTCTTGATTTTATCAAGTGAAGTTTAATTACTAGTGCCTCTTTCAACCTGCAGCTTTATAATAATAATATATATAAGGAGGGAAAGGCCCAAGAAATTTGTTATTTTAGACTTCAGAATAGAAATGCAGGGCCAGTGATAACTGGTGGTTCATAACGTACAGATGACGTGGCTTTTGGCTAACAACTAAAATTAACATCAATTTTTGCAATTTTTCCCAATAAAAATAATAGTACTATCCTCGCACACAGCAGCTCTGGGGCCCCTTACAAGTGGCCTGAATTTTGGTCCAAGATTCTTCCTATATTCAGAATAAGAAATAAGAATAACGAGCCACTCAATGGCTCTAAAATATTTAGTTTAGAAGAGAAACAATTATTAAGAGAAGAAGAATAAGTTTTTTATTTGCCCCAAGGCTATGACTTGCCGGTGAAATAGCTGGACTAACAATCTCAATAACCACAATTTAAATCATGCCAAAAGCAAGCAACTGATTGAGGTGTGCACAAGTTTCTTTTAACACCATCGTAATAAAAGAAAATATTACCCTGTGTGTTTCATACTTAGTGAAATTAACATTTTCTTTTGGAAAATGGATCAAATGAATTGACGTGTTTGTTCACGATCCGAATTTCCCATCCTCGGGAGTCGTGATGGCGCCTACTAGTGAAAGCTAGGCAAGCCAAACAACTGAATTTAATTACCTTGATTCCATTTTAAATCCGTTAACAATTAAGAACCAACAGTTAATGAACAACATAATTTAATAGGCGGAAGACTAAATTTCAAGTTGTAATAGTGCTACCAATATCAATCTATAACAATATACGCAAGACTGGTGTCACAACTTCACAGACTGTCTAAGAGTACTACAAATAAAGGTCTGAAAGAAATAACAAAATACTGTCTCTGGGATTACATAAAAGAAACAGGAATAATAGATAGAGGGAGACGCCAAGGCCTGCGGACGCCTGCAGGACTACCTCGGGTCGCCTGATGAACAAGGAGCAGAAATCTCACTGCGGTCCGAAATCTTCAGCACTGGGATCTGCACAAAAGAGTGCAGAATGTAGTATCAGCACAATCGACCCCATGTGCTGGTAAGTGCCTAGCCTAACCTCGGCGAAGTAGTGACGAGGCTAGGACCATACTACCAAATAAACCTGTGCAGATAAATAATGTACAGCGAAAAAATAAAAGCAGAATTATACAGTCAAGGATGGGAGGGGGAAACATGTTGCAGGGAAATATCAGGTGGCAACAGGAAGACAACAGGTAAATATAGGGGACACCAAAATTCAACTATCAACAAGAATTAGAAATCAAACAAGTGCACGGCATCACCCTTCGTGCTTTTACTCTCATCCTCACCATAAAAATCAATATAAACTGCACGGCATCACCCTTCGTGCTTTTACTCTCATCCTCACCATAAAATCAATATAATCGGCACGGAATGGTTCATCGTGCGGCACGACATCACCCTTCGTGCTTTACACTCTTCCTCATAAAAATCATACACGACATCACCCTTCGTGCTTTAACACTCTCTCACCAAAACAATGCACGGCATCACCCTTCGTGCTTTACACTCTTCCTCATCCAAACAACAAACACAAACAATAAGGGCAAGGAATAAATGAATCATAATAAAATCCCGGCAAGGGAATAATATCAAGACAACAACATCCCGGCAAATGAACAATATTCAAAAGCAACAACGTCCCAGCAAGGGAACAATACCATAATCCTCTTCTCCTTTTCACATTTACTTCACAACTTGATTCACAATTTGAGCCAATGCTCTAAGGTTCAATTACCAATTATTCTTCCACAATTCACCTCACTACTTGAGCCAACGCTCCTCAATGTTCAAATATCACCATTATTTCCACAAACTTTGTCCAACAATAGAAAGCATCACATAAAGGCATGAACAATACAAACGGAGTCATTTTAATAATAATACAAGACTCACGAGCATGCTTGACACCAACGTATAGATACTCGTCACCATGCTTATACGTCGTACTCAACAAATATCACATAGCAAATAGGACACAACTCCTAATCCCTCAAGCTAAGGTTAGACCAAACACTTACCTCGATGCCTCGAACACAGTTCAAGCCTCAACTATCGCTTTACCTCTTGATTTCACCACCAATTCGCTCGTATCTAGCCACAAGTTAGTTAATTATATCAATAAATGCTAAATGAATCAATTCTAATGCATGAAAATAAGTTTTCTAAAGTTTTTCCCAAAAAGTCAAAAATCGACCCCGGGCCCACATGGTCAAAACCCGAGGTTCGAACCAAAACCCGACTATCCATTTACCCACGAACTCAAATATACAATTTGTTTTGAAATCGGACCTCAAATCGAGGTCCAAATCCCCAAAATTTGAAAAACCTAGGTTCTACCCAAAACACCCAATTTCTCCCATGAAAACCTTTGATTTTGAGTTGAAATCATGTGAAAAGATGTTAAAGATTGAAGGAAGCGAGTTAGAAATAACTTACAATCGATTTGGAGAAGAAATTGCCTTTGAAAATCGCCCTAGAGTGTTTTAATTTTGAAAGAGTGTGAAAAAATAGTTGAAATGCGTCTAAGTTATGAATTTACAGGTCTCTGATGTCGCAATTGCGACCAGGGTTCGCAATTGCGAACCCTTCAGAATTCTGAGACCTTCGCATTTGCGACCACCCCCTTTTTCCTGAGGGGTTCGCATTTGCGAGGGAGGCGTCGTATTTGCGACTGGGGCCTTCCGCATTTGCGACCCAAACGATCGCATTGCGATCAGGCCTGCCCAGGCCTTTGTTCACATTTGCGATGGGCTTCTCGTATTTGCGAGCCAGGCTTCGCAAATGCGAAGCCTGCAGGCCTGCAACGTACCAACAAATTCCTATGTGTAAATTTCACTCCGTGGCCTATCAAAAACTCACCCGAGCCCTCGGGGCTCCAAACCAAACGTGCACACTAACCCAAAAATATCACACAGACTCGCTCGTGCATTCAAATCACCAAAATAACATCTATAACTATGCATTTAGCATCAAAATCATGAAATCACTTAAGAACATCAAATTTTCTAATTTTCTCAAATAAGGTCCGATTCACGTCATTTCAAGTCCGTTTCTTACCAAACTTCACAGACTCGACTTAAATCACATATAACACCTGTACCGGGCTCCTGAACCAAAATACGGGCCCGATACCATTAAATTTCAAATACATTTCATTTTCAAAAACTCATATATTTTTCAGAAAACAATTTTCTTTAAAAAATTCATTTCTCGGGCTTGGGACCTCGGAATCCGATTCTGGGCATATGCCCAAGTCCCATATTTTCTTATGGACCTCCCGGGATCGTCGGAACACGGATCCGGGTCCGGTTGCTCAAAATCTTGACCGAAGTCAACTTAAATTCATTTTAAAGGCAAAATTCATCATTTCCCACTACGCGCCCGGACTGCACACGCAAATCGAGGTGAGGTAAAAACGAGGTTTTTAGGCCTCGGAACACTGAATTGGTTTCTAAAATAAGTGATGACCTTTTGGGTCATCACAAGAAAGGATCTGGCACTACCTTTCATATTACATACATATATTGTCTTAAATATTTTTTACCAAAGGTGGATACTTTTTGGACAAACTACCAAGTATTCAAGACTAATTATGTGAATTTTGATCATATTATAGCGTTGAAGGCAACTAACGCATTATACTGATTTAAAAAAAAATGCATTATACTGATAATACTGAAGTTTTCTTTGCATGTGAGAGAGTTGTGAGGAATACAGGTTTAAATGCTTGAATTTTTTTGTTAATGTTGATATGCTAGCGACTACTTAAAGATTTCAACAATCAATAGTTGCTCTTGCTCCAGTTACCTAGAACATCAAATAATTATCTTTAAGACCTTAAATTAGATTAGATGCCGTGAGCACGTAATTTTTGCCCATTAAAATATTCCCCACAATCCACAAAAAATAAATTTTTCTCTAATTGTTTTGATTTTATAGAGTTTTAGGAATTCCTTTTTAAATTGTTTGTTTGCATTAGTCGCATTTTGGGCATATTTAATATTCCAAAAATCATGGAAAATATCACAAAAAATGTCCAAATCTTCATTGCTTAGAATTTTAGGTTTTTATTTGCATTTATGATTTAATTACGTTAATTAATAATTAAAAATCAAAAAGAAAATACATTGGTCATTTTTTACATTTTTAGTTGTAGTTTTAATTTGGTAATTTTCTTTCATTAGTGTTAAGTTGATTAATTAGTAAATTAGGTTTAATTTTGAAAATTAACTTTAAGTTAGGATTTTAATTAAAAAGAAAAGAAACAAACAAAGGAAAAGGGGAAAAGGTTATTTTTGAATCTAATTCGGGCTAGGCCAATTTTCTTGGCTCAATTGCCTTAAATTCCCCTCCTTGTCCCCAACCCAACTCCCCCTAAACCGGCCCAATGGCCATTCCCCACTTATTAAAAGAACCCTAATTCACTCCTCTTGAAAAAGAGGCAAAAACAGACGGACTCTTTTTTCCTCTCAACCCTAGAGACCTAGCCGCTGCCCTTAATGGCATCTTTGCTGAAGAAACAAAAAAAAGACGCCTCCTCTCCCTTTCATCACTAGAACAAAAAAAGAACAGAACATCCCCCTTAGAGACCAACCCTTGCAGCCACCCTCCATTATTCCTCCTCTCTTAAAAAAAGAACCTCCAAGCTCTCTCGTCCCTCTTAAAATGGAGGCTGTCACCTTTCGTGCCTGAGCTTCCCTCGCCGACGAGCTCCAAGGCTGGAACGAGCCGCTGCCTCACTCTTCATCTCCAAACTCTCTCTCTGTTGTGGAGAGACATGGCTGCCGCTTAGATCGCTGCCGCCGGAGTTAACCACCGGCCAAGCGGCGATTCCCACTTCTCTTCTCTCTCTCTGAAACGACGGACACTTCCCCATTTGAAAACCCTAACAACCCTTTCCTTCTTCACCTCAGTCAGCCGCCACCCCTCCCTTTCTTCTCTCTCACCTCACTAACCTCTCACACACCTTCACGCATATACACACAC